GTGCTGAGAGCTGAAATAAAAAGCAAATAGAAAACAGCATTCAGCTCTGATTCATCTAATCACTTTAGCAAGAGCTTAAGGAAACAAGCATTCATTCTCATTCCACAAATACACACCTGCTCCTAGCCAGCTCTCTTCTGGGCTCTGCTTGTGTGTGCAGGAGGCCTAACATCCCTGCCCCACAGGGCTTGCCTTGTGCGGGGGCAACAGACCAAACTAAGTCCTCCCCATCGCACAATGGGAGGCACTAGTCTTTTTCCCCCAAAATCCATTTTATTTCAAGGATAAAAAGAAAAAAAAAAAAAAAGAAGGAGGAGGAGGAGAGGAAAAGTTACAACAAAATTTCAAATCATACAATTAGGGGGCAAGAATGGTACATACCTTGCACATTTTCATCCCCAAATCATTCACCCAGAGCACAGGACATCTGCATTCAATTGTCTGAACGAGACTAGCACAAATCTTTCTCTTCAGCAAACTCAGAGAAATCAGTAGTATAACTATCTTAACTATCTTTTATATACATACACATACACTTGTATATGTTTTTTTCTTTCAGCTTCTCACACTAATGAAAAAAAACAACATTTGCATGTGTGTGTTTTATTTATTTCACTAATGAGTATGTTCTCCACTTGTGTGCAATTACCTACAAAAGTTTCCAGTTTATCCTTCTTTATGGTTGAGTAGTACTCCATTTTATAAAAATACCACATCTTTTTATCCATTCCTCAGTTGATGGGCAATTGGCTTGTTTCCAAGATTGGCACTCATTGTCTTTAGGAAAACAAGCTGGACAGGATATAAGAACTGAAAAGAGATCACAACATTACAGCAAGTGACCAAGAAAAATCTTCCTGGGAGCGAAGGCCTGGTACGTGGTGGAGCATGAGTCAGATAGACCAGAAAGGAGTTTTGGAACCAGCTCTCCCCTGACAGTTGTCTCCAACTCCCAAGAGTGTTCTCTCTCATAAAAGCCCCACCAAAGTTCCTTACAGTGTTTGTCCTGGGATGAAGGAAATGGAAAGAAATTGAATTCAGGACAGAGAAAGTTTCCAATCTGTTTATCTAAACCGTTGTTTATTCATTCTTTGGGCACAGTCTTGGGAAAGTCTGTGTGGATGATAAGCTTTTTTGCACAAGTGAAGAGACTGAAATATGAATATGATAGAAATATACATCTCGCTCACTTCAAAGACATTTGTTCTCTCATTCTTGCCACTGTCCGAAGCAGCTCTGGAAACTCTCTTTCATGAGTGTCTTTACAAGATATGATCAAAAGTACTGTGAATTCTGCTGTCAAGTATCATCCAAGGAAAGGCAGGCTTATAAAATATGACCCCGTGTCTTCATCCATCTTATTCACTGGATCTGGCACCCACGCAACTTCGAGCTCTTCACTAAAGTCGAAATCATCATGGAAGATTTTGGACTGGTTTAGCAGATGGCAGCCATGACAGGGTAGCCCTAGACACTCATGAAAGAGGGCTTCCAGAACTGCTACAGAGAGTGACAAGAATGATAGGATACGCGTGTTCAAAGTGAGGGGGATTAATAGCAATGTGTCTTTTACTGCAGTACATTTTTCTTAAATATTCACCATATTTTCAATCACACCTCATACACTTGGCTTTGATGGAAGCAGCACTTTTGACTGTTTTTAGCATGATACAAAAGCAAAAGTAGATTATTTCATTTGTCTAAATAAACAGAAAATGGGTCTTGCTCAGCAAAGCCTGGCCTCTTAATGTGACTGTAGACCTTCCCACAGGGAGCTTACCTTGTACAACTAAGACTTGCTCAGTATAAGCCCAGATCTCACTGCCCCATAGAAGTTGCAAAAATACATATATTGTTTTCCTCGTTGCACTCATTGTTAGGTAAAGAACTTTAACCGTTTGGGGTTTATTACTTCACACTTAAGTAACCCACAAACCTCAGGAAACGACACACACACAGCCAACTCTGAAACTGTGCTGAGCCCCGCTGAGCTCCAGGTGACCTTCAGTTGCACAGAGCGCTCTGATGAAAACTTCTGACCATCACACAACCCCCAATTTACAGGACTGCCCCCTTGAATGACCAAGTGTTGCAATATTTGAAGCCCTGGGAACAGAGTTAAGTAGAGCTGGATATATAAGAAGGCTTCCACAAGGTCTCCTTGAATTTTATCCTCATTTGAAAGATGTTTCAGCACATTGAAATACTTGACCTGCTTCTAAAGCAATGCAATAGGAATGGTGAGAGAGAGGCAACATGTTCAAATACATTTCACTTTTGTAAATATAGCCACTAGAAAAATGTAATTCATGTTCAAAAAGATTTCTTAGAAGAAAGCATAGCTGCCCTGTTTACTCACTGATCCACCCACAGGAAATAAATGAACAAGGGGAGACATGATATGTTATCTTTAAAAGGTTTCCCTCTCTCTACATAGTGTACAATTATCAATTTCTATTTATTGAGCTTAAAATGACATAAGCAAGGACAGCGTCTGCAGTGTCTCTAGATCAGCTATAAGCCTAAGTCTCTGCACTGGACAAGAGATGTTCAATTTTGATCTTCTTCACTACTGATGCCTTTTGTAGGGCTTGGCTTATTGTCCTAGAAGCATTTCATTTGAATAAAGAGATTAAACAGAGGTTCACCATAAAACTTCCTCTCTAAAATAAAAAGCAGAGTGGCCAGGGAAGACTTGGAGAAAGAGAAGCGTCCATAGAAAGGCAGATGGGAAGGAGAGTGATGGCCCATTCTGTGTTGATTTGGCTGGGCCCCAGGTGCTCTTGGCATGTCTGTGAAGGTGTTTCCAGGAGACACGAATCTTCCGAATCTTCTGTTGGTGGAGTAGATTGCTCTCCCAAGTTACAGGGGAGAGGGTCCAATCTGTCCAGGTCAGGAGTAGACAAAGAACAGAAGAAGGAGGAATTCACCCCTTCTGCTTCTTGTCAGCCACTGCCATTGGCTAGGACTGGCACCACTGGCTCGCCTGTTCTGAGGCCTTTAAGCTGTGGCAGAATTACACCATCAGCTTTCCTGGGGGCCCAGCTCACAGTAAGAAGCCGTGGGGCTTCTCAGCCCGGATGATGCCCCATGCATCACCGACTGTACCAGATTTTCATCCAGATTTATATCCTAGTAGATTTATATGGTTCAGTATTAGAAGATTTATATCCTAGTAGTTCCCTTAGGGAACCCTGGCTGATACAGAAGTAAAGAGTGCTCTGGTCTAGCAGCTGCCAAGAAAGGAGGTCCGAGCCCAGGTGAGAACACACACACTGCCTTCTGCCCCATCCTCAGGAACACCCCCCTCCCGGGAACTGGCTCATCATGAAGCTCTCTGTTTGGTGTGATAGCCTCTTCCTTGGTATTATCGGCAAAGAACCTTTGTTTATTATTGAAACAACTTTCGGCCATAGCGTAGAAACATCGAAGTATGGAGACTTTTCCTCTACAAAGATCATCACTCTCTGTGGGGTCACTAGCTCATCCTTCCCTTTTCCTGTGCAGAATTATAGATAAAACCAAGATTTAGGTTCATATTTCTTTTCTTTATTTTTGCTTCAAATATTATGTCCAAGGGATGCATCTTTAAAATGGTACCTTTCAATAAAAGGTCAAACTTCACTTTTAAGCAAATGTAACCTACCAGGTATGGTGGTACATGCCTGTAATTCCAGCACTCTGGGAGGCTGAGACAAGGGATCACAAGTTCAAGCCCAGCTTGGGTATCTTAGTGATTTAGTGAGACCCTGTCTCAAAATGAATGAGTGAATGAATGCATGGATGAGGCTGGGGATACAGCTCAGTGTGAAGTTCTGGTTCCATTCCCAGTACACACACACTCAAAAGATATAATTCCTGCTCGGGAGCACACAGACTAACAGAGCCTTCACCTGGTGCTCCTGGGATTCAAGGCCCCCTGTGCTCAGGTTGAGAACACAGTGGGCTATTAGTATGACCACCACTGCAAGTGCCACCTCCAGCTACCTCCTGCTCCTCCCACTTGTATTTCTTTGCTTGTTTGCTGATGTCCAAAATCCCTTTAACAGTTGCTTGTATGTCTTCATTGCACTGGTAGGTTTGAGGTTTGTATTACTAGCAGCCTAAAGAAAAGCAGCATGGCTTGCTATGGCCCCTGTGTCTAACTGCCTGCCCTTCTGATGGTAGCGAACCTGGGAAAGGCAGGGAGCAGACAGGGGCACAGGAGGAGGAGGAGCACAGCACAGGAAGGGCAGGCTGGGGGCAAAAACAAACTCCACCCACCTGCCCAGCCTGCCTTGCTGTCTCTGGGAAATGGGGCACTCCTCATCGACATGGTGTCTCATCACAGAAGAACGACCTTCTCCCAGGAGCAAACATCTAGAGCCATCTTCTAATACTGAACCATATAAAACACAACACTAAAAGCTTTAGGAAAATTGAAGATGAGAGCATTAAGATTTAGTTTCTGACTCTAGGTCCATTCAACTAATGTTTATTTTATGACCATTACTTCTTATTATCATTGCTGATCTGAGTCACAAACTAAGTTATAAACTTGATCACCACTTGTTTCCTTCCACAGAGTCTCATAAGAAGTCCCATTCGGGGATAACTAACTTTATCATGCCACATACTTTACTATGCACTAACATTTTAAAAACGCAGCAAATGTATCTAAATAACATTTTCCAAGATAATCATCAACATTTCAGTAAATAACCACATTCCCTATTTTAGCATTACTGAATCTGAAATTTCTTCATCATTATGTACTACTTTGCAAGTATTTGTTCATCAAGAACTGCAATCAATAAAAGAAAGAGGACAAGAGAATAAGCTATTTTTCACATTATGACTAGATTGTCCAGATGTCATGCCTGGAATACATCACAGTGACATTCCTCATCATGTTTCCAATCATTTGGAAACAGATTTTCTTCTGCAATCTGCAGAGCTTTGGGCAGCACTGAGCCCTGCTGTCAGCAACAGCAGCCAGGAAAGGATCAAATGTACTCTACCTGATGGCGGCTTCTTTTCCAACTCAGGGTACTTAGGTTCTTCTTGGAGTTCTTCCTTCTGAGTTCCAGTCCCACAAGCCAAAAAAAAAAAAAAAAAAAACAGAGAAAAGGTAAAACATAGCATTAATTTACAGCAACACTGTTTTTGCAAACTTGAGACCAAAACTCAGAAAATGACGCCACGCCTTACAGAACTAAAGCTTTGGACAAGTTACAAATACAAGAACAGCTGTCTAACTATGGGAGTGTTGGTTCATCGTTCCAGGTACTATTCATCTGGAAATGCCTTTGAGAATCATCCTTGGAGTATCATCCAGGGGTTTTCTGGGACTAAGACATTTGGGGACACCAGTTACTTAGAAAAGCTTCTCCACAGGAAGAATTCTAGCAGTGTGGCATACCAAAGAAGACGTTTTATTTTTCATAATTCAAGGAGCTTTTTTCATGTACTCTTGAAAGTTTATAGTTATTTTTAATCTCTGGGAAGGTAGAGTTCACATTCTTCTTTTAGTACTGGTATGATTGCTATTATACATTCAGGTCAGCATTTTTTAGTTTCCATGTGCAGTACTTTTCTTTCTGTCTGGTTATTTCACTTAGCATGATGTCATCTAGTTCTACCCATCTGGTAATGAAAGACGGGGTGTCATCTTTACAGCTGACCAATATTCTGAGTGTGATCCACATCTCCTTTATCTACTTGTCTACTGATAGGTTCCCAGGCTGATTCCATACCATGCTGTTCAGAATATGCTGGGATAAACATGGATGTGCAAGAATCACTTTGATATATGGATTTCACACCACTTGATAGTCACCAAGAAGCAGTGTACTTGGATCTATTTTAATGTTTTGAGAAACCACTGTACTGTTATTTACATGGTTGTACTAATGTACTTTCCCACAGTGCACAAGCGGTGTCACAATAACTGGAACTGCTTAAGGACAATTGCTAATGCTACAACATTGATGAAACCAGAGGTGGCTGAAAGTGAGGACTATAAGTTAGCAGGAATGCCGAAAGGATGGCTCTTTTATTTTGTCTGCAAGATGGGGACTTTATGATGATGAGTCATTCGCTCTTCCCATTGTGGGCCATTTCTTGGAATCTCGGTCTTTAGGTAGGATCCACCCTAACACCCTTGAATTACACTGTGGGCAGCTTTTTTCCTACCTTGAAATAATTTCTTCATGCTTTGTTCTTCCTGAGAATTTACCCTGACACAGGATATTCTAGACTATACAAGGCACATGGCTATGGAACTCCACATATGACAGTTGGGACTATTCTGTCATCAGGGTAGAATGTTGGAACTCAAACCCTGATACTGTCCATCATGGACACAATCTCAAATTTGTGATACATTTTCCAGTTGGTAGGTAATAATGTCTCGTACAGATCAGAATCCAGCAGACTCTCAAGCTCAGTTAGTGAGACAGAGAAATATGCTTTTTAATTCATAAAGGCAAGTGTCATTGTGCCTTATTAGTTTCCGAGGGAATTGGCATTACCTATATCAGGCATGAGAGTTTTTCCAGAAATCAAATACCATCTTCAAATGTTCATCATCAGAGTTTGAAGTTTCCCAACTTTGTCTTACTGTTAAAACCCATGAAACAGTATTGGCATGGGCACACGCTAAACAAGGCCTCAGTCCAATTACCTCAAATTTATGTGTGACAGGAAATTATAATAAAAGTTGCCTCCAAACTTGTTTCTTTCTTAATAGAGTGGGAATTAGTGGTATGTCAGTGGTACACACACATTGTAGAAAAGTCCTGTCCCATAGCAATTAAATGTACAGCAAGTAATTTCTTACTTCATAAGGCCCAACTGAATAGTACATACTAAAAACAGGAGGAGTTATTGTATAATACAGCCACAGAGAGTTTCTTGAGATGGCAAAATTATCCAAATAAAGTTTTTTCATACACAAAAGATCCTCTCCCTTGAGCCAATAACAGTATTAACATTTTATTACTCTGAATTCTGGAATTGTGAAATAAGAGCTCTTTAGATTTCCTCCACACATATTTAGTATTCCATTTCCATTCCACCAAGTTTCTGTTTGGTAAGAGCTACAAGCCCAAAAGAGTCTGCAGGGGAAAGGCTATTTGCAGTGCTCTTGCTGGAGAGCTCTCAGCTCAGGATACACAAACATCTGTCTGCAGGGATAAACTATGTTCTATTTAGAGAAAAGAGGCTGAGCTCCTTCAGTTCCTGGCCTCTTCCTTTTGGTGACAGCCTGTGATTTGCTGAACTTGATCTCAGTGGCTTTCCCTCAGCAGCACTAGGATACAATAAAAACAGCCCAACTGTAGTACATCTGTTGATTTTATGGCCCAGACTCGCACTCTAGGAAGTAAGCGTGGTCTGACTTCCGCTTTAAAGCAATGCTTTCCCATCCTGAAGGAAGTGTGGCCCTGTGATCTGATGTAGTCCATGAAACTTATTCCACTCTAGAAGAGGCAAAGTGACACCAGGCTGTTCCCATCAGTCTGCTGCACTGGTATGTGTAACCCAGCCAGGGTGAATGAGAGGAAATCAGATTGTTCTCTGTATTTCTGGAAAGATGGAAATATATTCCTATTCTTATCCACTGACTCTGAGACCTGAGATGCAGATAGGGCTCAGAGCTGCTCCTGTGGCCACTCTCTTGCTCTCATGTGCTGCCAAGACTGATGTCCACATCAAGGAAGGCAAAACCAAGAAACACACTGACACTGAGGCCTACCAACATCACCTCAGCCCCCAGCCCAGTCAAGCCAGATGTAAGCTTAACCTTGGACATTTTGCATAGGTCAGATGATACATTTCTTTTTAAATCAAACTCATTTCTGTCAGATTTTCTGTCCTTCAAACAGGATGGGTCCTGGCCAATTCACCAATGTAAATATCTTAGGTCACAGAGACAGAAGGGTAGACATTTGTATCTTCATCGCACAGAAGGGATCCAGAGGGCTAAAGACCTTATCTCAGGACACATACTTTTAAATGGGAGAAGGATTCATACCATCTTCCTGGCCACACTGCCACATTCCATGCCAGCTGTTTGCTCATGTGACTAAGTATTTCACCTTGCCAGGCACATGGTGCACACCTGTAGTCCTAGCATGCTGGAATGCTGAGGGAAGAAGTGTGAACATCCAAGCCCAGCCTGAGTAACTCACAACTTTGCAAAACCCTGTCTCAAAAAACAAAACAAAAGGACCTGGGAATGTAACTAAGTGTGAAGGTTCTGGGTGTAATCATCTCTACTACTGCAAAATGAAAAAAATAAATAAATTTTATCTTAACGAGGAATAAAAGCTGGTTAATGTGTAGTTATCCTGAGTGAGAGGATTAGCTCAAAAGGTAAAGAAAAGGTAGGCAGTGCAGTTCTGCAATGGAAAGAATGATTGTTCCTCAAAGTTAGAGGAGGCTTCTCCAAGGACAGAGCATTGTGCGCCTTTAGAGTTATAGAGCCCCAGCCAGGGAAACCACGGACCAAAACCACATTTATCACATGGTGAAATTTTCAAATCCAGTTCCATAAGTTTTCATGGCATTATCTTTGCAGCTGTAATTCAACTCATGGGTCCAAAGTCTGAAGTTACATAATTATTGCAAAATATTTGTAATCTTGTCAAACTGCTAGGAACAGAAGGGCTAAGACTTAACTATACTGATGACTAATCGACTGCCTTTATTGATCCTATATGCAGATCCCAGGTGCAGACTGCATTAAGATCATGAGCAAATGACAAGAGGGGATCATTATGTTTACACAATGACACTTGTCCCTAGAAAAGAATGCAGGTTGAGAGACATGTGTGTCTTAGACCATGTAGGGCTGGTATAAGAAAATGCTGTAGGCTGATTCTTAAACAACCTATTCCACAATTCTGGTCAGTCTACTATCAAAAGCAACAGCAGATTCAGCATCTGGAGAGGACTCTACTTCCTGGCTCATAAACAAACCTTTCTCAGCTTTGTCTTCACATGGCAGAGAGGTGAATGAGTGCCCATGGACCTCGTTTATGAGTGCAATAATTTCCACCCTCAAGACTTAGCTTCCAAACTCTTCACCCTCCTAATACCATCACTTCAGCAGTTAGCATTTCAACATATGAACTTTGGAAGTCATAAGCCTTCAGGCCACAGCACTATGCCAAAAGGAGTTCATAAACATGGTGTGAGCAAGAGGATAAAGACCCACCTGGAAACTGTGGCACAATTCTTTGCATATTTGTGAAAATGTCGTATCTCATATCTCTCTGATAACTCTCCACGTTCAAAGTGAAGTCCAATGCATGATTTTACCTGACGCGTTCAGTAACTCTGGGAGGTAGACAGAGTAGGTACCCTCAGGTCCCGCCTGAGAATCCTGAGCCCCACAGGCACAGCTGTGCAGAAAGAGGAGGTCAGGGTCCACGCTCATCAGCCAGTATGGAGCACAGTGAGCTCACCCCTACTTCCTCCCGTGGCTCCCTCAAAGTCTAGGCAGGAAAGTTAGGAAATAAGAATGCAGAAGAGGCTGAGCCAGAGGCCTGTGGTTTCTTCAGGATAAGCGTGAACTTGGAGCTTTCTCGACGACCCTGGAGCTATATCAGTACGTTGGCCAACCATCCTTTCCAAACTTATTCAAAGCCCTAGCATTTGTGGATGCTAAAATTATGACTGTGAGCAGAAATGACACTCGTAGAACCTTCCAGAATAAATATAAACTTTGTGGTGATTTTTTTTAAATTAACCTAAATTTTTGTAGCCCTGAAACTAAGCAAAGAAGTTTAGATTCCAGGTCCAGCTCTTAGGGTCTTTTCCTTAAGCTTAAGCTGACTTAAAGTAAAATTTATAAATTGCTCAAATAAACTTAATGCATAGTCTGAATTTGTCCTGATAAGTAATGCTAACCTGTGGATGTTCATCTACAGTAAAGAATTGGAGGGACCAGGCAGGAAGACAGTGACCTGTTGTTCAGCCCTTCTTTGCACCCCTGACACACAGGTCCTAGAAAAGCACATCTACTAAAGGAACTTCTGAGGCATTGCTATTTTTAATGCAGTTGTGCCAGCAGT